GTAAAAGAAGGCAATACAGCTCTGAAACCGCTCATGACGCTTACGTCAATGGGAGGTCGAGCACTTAACAACCTCTGTGGCAAGGCACATGAAGGAGCTGTGTGCCTGGCCAACTTGTATTCGACTTGGGAAAGTATGAATTTGGAACGGCTCAGAAACGTGGCATTGGACCTTGGAATGTAGACAGGGTAGGCTGGGAGATGTTTCATCAGTGTTTCTTGCTGAACCTGATGCATTTTCATGATGAACGGCAAGGTGTTAGGTCCCTCCCTTCAATTGAACATGGTTGTGTCGTGTCAGATACTCGTTTGAGGGCCTCGTGGCTTAGTTTATCGAGCCTTTGTTTTGCACCAAATACACCACCAATCAACTTGTTGCCAGTGAAAGCACGATGTTTCTTGTTGATCGTTTTGCTCTACGATCAACCTCGTTCGGTTAATGAAGCCACAACGTGAATCTCCTACAATTCAGAACTGCTAAATCAGCCTGGGCAGCACTGGAATGCTCAGCAGGGCCCTACTTCTGCTCAAGTCACCGAAGCTTGTGGAAAAGCAATGAATCTTCAAGGTGTTTTTTTGATACATAAGTACGTAGTTTGAAGAAACATCAGAATGGCAAGACCCGAGAGTTGTCCGAGCAACTATTGTGTGGGACATGATCAGTCAGTCGAGACAGAAATCCAAGTTTAGCTAGCATGAGAAGAACCATTTTGGTAGGCCAGTGTTTTGTCCTTTAGCGTTGCCAGACCATTCGTACAAACTGCAGATGGCACACATCAGCGATGAACGCCTGCGGGCTGAAATACGCAAGCTGCTGGTTGGTATCGACTTGAAAGCAACATCGATAGGCCACAGACCGAAGGGGTAGGGTGATGATTTGAGCTGAGGAAAGCAGTACTGCATGGCCTATTTGTTTGAAAGAAAGACCGGTATCGATAAGATGTGAACAAAAAACATTACAGTTTTGGGCTCGTGCAGCAACTTTGCAGAGTTTGGGCTGCTGTGCAAATCCGGGTGTTGGAATGAACACTTGTGAAGATCATGGACGCCTTGACGAGGCGTTATGGCATTACAGTATTGTAATATATTATAATTGTTGGAAGCACTCCATGCGGCATGTCGATTGCTGCAGCCCTCTTTTGAGCAAGCGAGCTCAATGAGCTCTGAACGGTCAGACAAGACCGAAGCACATCAGCAGAAAAAGAAAAGCTGGTTGTGTCCTTGTGAAGGGAAAGGTTTTGAAGTGTTGGGTGAGGAACATGCCCAATCAAGGTCAGGTGAAACCCCTGCATGAACAGGTTATGAGCCCAACGCAAGGGGATTCATCAAGCTCTAGAGCCCCTGAGATGGCCATGCTGCGACGCCGGCGCTCATCCAGAGCTGGAGCTGATGAATCAAGAAGATCTTCAGTTGGTCGGCCAAGAGCTGGCGCCGGCCTTTCAGCAGCCTGTCGTTGCTGGAAGGGATGGGTTGGAAATGGAGGTGAAAGGGTTGGAGAAGACCCTCAGTACTCCAACAAGAAGCACCACTGGACGCCCAGAAACCGGAACCGGTCCGACCGAGCTGGAAGTGTTTAGAAGTGGTGGGTGGAAGATAAGCCCAAAAGAAGCCCTCGAAGGCCCCAAGGGCAAACCTCGTGTTTTGGCGCCGCTTGCACTGCCATCAGGACAGCCACCGTTGTTCACTGAGGATCAACTCAGGTCAGCCCGAGCTCAGGCAAGGCAAGCACCGATGCTCTATGGTACCTTGGTGCCTCCAGTCTCCTCAGGTGATGACCCTCCAGGCCATGTGAAGTGCCCGGACTTCATGAAGGAGGAGGAGAAGAGGTATGAGGTGAAGGAGAAAGAAAAGGAAGCAGCCTTTTCGATGAAGGCCATGAAGAAGAAGGCGGCTCCTACGAAGGGCACCCAAAGGGTCATGGGCCTGAAGTGTTTGACCTAGATCAACAAGACCACCTACGTGAACAAGAAGAAGAAGTCATGTGGAGGTGGCAGATCTCACAGGAAGTTCGCATGTTGACGGAATTGTGCCATCAACAAAAGCTAGAAAACACCCTACTTCAACAAGAGCTTCATGAAAGAAGGTTGAAGGAAGAAAAAGAAGAAAAAGGGGGTCAGAAGGAGAAGGAAGAACCTGAAGCTGGTCGACCACCTTCTGCGTTTGGGACCCCTGAAGAACATGTTCCTGAACCTCCCAGGTCAAGAGCCACTCCTGGTGACAGAGGAAGGGCGGCTTGGGGTTATGGGGCTATGAAGTATGGCAGAAAAGGAAGCCGTTCAAGATCAAAAGATGAAGTTCGGTCCAAAAGTCCACCGGTTGTCAAGGGCACCACTGAAGGAAAAGGACCTCGAAAAGCATCCATGGCCTCGTACATGTTGGGGGGAGCTCGACCATCCCCTGAAGTTCAACAGATGGAGGTCATGTCCCTGTTGGTTGAAAGTATGAAGTCCCTCCAACGCCAGATCTCAGAAGGCCAAGACCTGCAGGGGACGGTCAAGGGAGTTGAGGTTGTTCGCCAAGTAGCAGAGCTCCCCCTGTTCTTGGTGCACTTCAAGGATCCACGTCACAGCTGCAGCTTGGCGACTGGTTGCTGTTGGTACAGCCTGTGGTGGCTGATCTCACCTCGACCTCCGATGTTTGGTGGGAAAAGATGATGAATGAAGTTGAAAGGTGGTATCAAGACCATCAAGCTATGGCACCCCTGGACAGGGTACGACATGAACCTGTTGCCCCTGCAAACCTCAGCGTGCCAAAGTGGGCTAAGCTAGAAAGAAGGATGGCTATACACTCCTTCTCAAAGCGATCCCCGAATTTCAGAAGGATGAGCTGGTGGCCACAAAGCGGCTTTCGGTGTTCGCGATTTTGGCTCACCTCCATGTGACCTATTGCCCAGGTGGCATCAGCGAGAAGCAAATGCTCCTTCGCAACCTCGAAGAACCTGCCGAGCCGTCCAACTTGCATGATACAGTTGTTGGCCTTCGTCGGTGGCTTCGTTGGCGAGCTCGAGCACAAGAAATTGGAGCCACAGAGCCTGATCCTTCGATCTTGGTCAAGGGGCTCAATCGCCTGACGAGGCGGACCTTGGAAGGCAATGAAAGCCTTCGATTTCGGGTGTCGCTGGCTCGAAATGCCTTGCAGGTTGACACCAACCCCAATGCCCTGTCGGTCAGTCAGTTTGCCACGCACCTCATGGCCGAGATCGACCAGCTTTCCCTGGCTGAGAAGCGAAATGGAGGAGGTGGGAAAAAGGAAGAAGGAAAGGTCAAGAAGCTGGAAGATGGCTCCGCAACCAAGAAGACAAAAGGAAGTGAGGCAAAGATTAAGGAGATGGAAGTGAAGTCTCCATGCAAGTTCTACCTGTCGGAGAACGGGTGTCGTCGTGGCCGTGATTGCAAATGGAGCCATGATCAAAAGGATGAACAAAGAAGGTGCTACACCTGTGGTTCCACGAAGCACTTGGCGCCTTCTAAAGAATCACCTACTACCAGCGCTCCAAACTCTCCGCCTAAGGTGAAGAAGGAAAAGGAGGAAGATAAAGTGGTGAAGGGTCAAGATGGTGAGAAGGGAAGTGGAGGTCAAGAAGATGATAAGATGGATGAGCTTTTGGCCGAAGCCAATCGTATGCTCAAAGTCATGAAGGACAAGGAAGCCTCGGAAGCGAAGTTGAGTCGCCTCCACCAACAGTTAGATGAGATCAAGAAGAGCATCAAGACCCTGAAGCTTACAAAGGTAAGAGAGGCCAAGCTTGGGTCAACCGAAGAAGAATGGGGGCTACTGGACTCAGGGGCTACACATCCTCTGCGACCTTTGGTGGCCACCGATCGAATTGAGGCATGAAGAAGGTCTGTCTCGCTTGCAGATGGCAGAACAACGCCACTGCTGATGACCGATGCCGGAGTCATGGTCACTACGAATCTGGCTGTGGAGCCTATTGTGCCGCTTGGAATGTTGGCTGAAGGAGGCTGTCAGATTTCATGGAAAAGGGGGGTATGAAAGTCATGCATCCCACCAAAGGAACTTTGCCCATCAGCATCCAAGCCGGATGTCCACAAATTCCGAAAGAGCTTGCCCTGGACCTCATCAAGGAGTTCGAAGACAAAAGCCTCCTGGTCAAGCAAGCACGCATGGCGGTAGAAGTTCATCCCGAAAAGGAGCTCGAATGGTTGCAGTCCTTGGTGGATGGACACCCAACTTTGGCCAGTTTGCCGGAACACCTGAAGAAGGCATTGGTGATGGCCCCAGGTGAATGGAGCGATTTACCGGCCAATCGGCGCCAAAGGAAAAGAATGAAGAAAGCTGGTTCCGTCCTTCTACACCTCTATGCTGGAGAAAAGGAAGGATTCACCCTTCAAAAGGCCATGGAAGAGCATGGTTTGGGGGCCAGCACGTTGGAGGTGGACATAAAAAGGGGGGAGGATCATGACCTCGCTTCGCTGGATTCCAAGGCCTACCAAGGGCTCCTCCGACTGGCCTTAGATGGTGACATTGCCGCAGTTCTTGGCGGCCCAAACTGCAGAACTCGCTCAGTTCTTCGGCGCTATCCTGGAGGTCCTCGACCAGTGCGAACCTGGAGCGAATCTTGGGGCGTTCAAAGCTACAGCCCTGAAGAAAGAAAGATGTGTGAAGAGGATGACATCCTGATGTGGAGGCAAATCTTCTTGTTCCTCGTGGCTGACATGGCACGAAAGCTCAAGGACTCCACCACTCCTGACGGAGAAGAAGATGTACATCCAAAAGAAACGCTGTTTTTGCTTGAGCAACCGGCTGATCCCAAGGACTACATGCCGGAATGCGTCTCGTTCTGGGGGACAAGTGAATGGAAGTCCCTTCAACAAGCAGCACAACTCAAGCTTCACAATGTCAATCAGGGTGATTTCGAGCCCTGGAAGCACCCGGTGAAGCCTACTGGTTTGGCTACAAATATGGATCTTCAAGTACCTGGCCAAAAGAATCCTTATGCCAAGGGACGAAGTGAAGGTCAAAAAGCGCCCTCGTCTTCGCTGTCTCGATGGGTTCCTGGCCTATGTCGGGCCATTGCTGAGGCTTGCGCTGCACACTTCAAAGAAGAAGGCCATGTGAAGGTGAAAAAGATGACCTGGG